GGGATTATAATCAATGTAATGAAATTATATGAATTGTTGAATGTGAAACTGATGATGTGCCCTGTAAACTTTCACTCAATCCACAATAAAAACCTTAAATTAAAAAAAAAAAATTACAGCCTCGGAAATCTTATGGGACAGTTCTACTTTATCCTATGGGGCTGCTATGAGTTGGAATTGGTTTGATTCGAAGATGGTGCTGTTTGTTCAGGCACCCCTAGAAAAGTAATGCAGATGTCTTATTGCTACTTTGCTCATCCCGTGGGCTTTCCTCTGCCTCTTCAAAGCAACAGACTTATTCTAGGCCTGCTCTTACAAGACCCACGTATCACTTTCCTGTGGCTGCTGTAGCCAAATACCACACCGAAATGTAAACAACAGAAACGTATTGTCTCAAAAGTGCTGGAGCTTAAACGTCCAAATTCAGGGTGTTGGCAGAGCCATGTTCTCTCTGGAGTCTCTAGGAGACGTTCCTTTCTTGTCTCTCCCAGCTTGTGGTAGCCCCAAATGTTCTTTGACTTGCAGCTGTATCTTTACCCGGCCAGCTTACCTCTCTCGGTCCCTCTGTGTCTTTTCTTCTCTTTATCCAATCAACTCAGATTAGATCAGGATCCATACTCCAATATGACCTCATATTAATTTAACTGATAACATCTCCAAAGACCCTTTTTCCAAACAAGGTCAAGTTTTAAGGTACCAGGGGTTAGAACTTCAACATGTCATCATGGGGGAAATGGTTAGTGGTTCAAACTCACCAACTGCTCCTTGGAAACTCTATACAGGATTACTATAAATCAGAAACAATTCAATGGCACTTAATAACAGCAACAATTCAATACACCCATCATTCATCTGTCAATTTGCTGTGATGCTGGGAGCTATACCACTAGTATTTAAAGTAACAGCAGCGTCGCCCATGGTAAAGAGGTTTCAGAAGAGCTTCCAGACTAAAACAGACTAGGAAGGAGAGATGGATTACTTCTGAATATTTAATCACTGAAAATCTTATGAATAGCAGTGGAACACTGTCAGATAGCACGAGAATTTTGAATATTGAAACATTATGAGTAGCACCAAAATATTGTCAGATATAGTGCCAGAAGATTAACCCCTTAGGTTGGAAGGCACTGAAAATGCGACTGGGGAAGAGCTGCCTCCTCAAAGTAGAGTTGACCATGATAATGCAACTGGAATAAAGCCCTCAGGACCTTCCTTTGACAATGGGGCATGACTCAAAATGAGGAGAAACGTCTGTAAAAAAATCCATTAATAATCGGAACATGGAATGTGCAAAGTATGAATCTAAGAAAATTGGAAGTTGACAAAAACGAAATGGATAGAGATGCAAATCAAAAAACAATGAGATATCATTTCACACCAGCAATAACAGCGTAGTTCAAAGAAAGCAGAGGGCCATAAATGCTGGCGAGAATGTGGAGAAAACAGTATGACACTTCCTCAGAAAGTTGGAAATAGAAATACCTGATGCTCCAGCAATTCTTCTATTAGGTATATATCCACAAGAAATATGAGCCAGAACATGAGTAGATATATGCACACCAATGTTTTTCACAGCGCTAATCACAGTAGCAAAAAGTTAGAGACAGCCTAAGTGCCCATCAATGGAAGAATGGATAAACAAACTTTGGTACATACACACAATAGAATATTATGCTACCTTGAAGACTAGCCAGGAAGCTACAAGCCACCACATAACATGGATGAACACTGATGATATTATGCTGAGTGAAATTAGTCACAAAAGGACAGATATTGCATAAGACCATTACTGTAAAAGCTTAAGAAAAGATACCCATGCTAACAGGGAAAAAAAATTCTTTGTTGGTTACCAGAGTGGAAGGGAAGGGATGGTAGAGCACAGGGTACATCATAGTTCAGGAGCTGAGGAGGGCAATACACAAGAAGAGGGAGGGGGATGGAAGAACAAGGTAGATAGGAGAACATTTAGGCAGGCTGGCATGGGCTAAATGGGACAGAGGTAAATAGTGATAAATGCTCAACCTCGGAACAACAGGGCTCTGTGATACAGGGATCAAGGCATAGTATGAATGGGTAAAAGAGGCGGAAATAACGTTAAGATTCTTGACTGTCTTATAAATATTGGTTTCCTTTGCCTACTATTGTAAAGTAGACACTTGAGTGAGATGGAAAGGAATATCTGGAACAGCTTGTAAGCCCATCTTCAGCCTATAACTAATTGGAATACCTAAAAGGGGTGATAGAACTTGCTCAATGGAAGAGGCTTCTTGTGGAGCCTTTGTAATATATAAGACCTTAGGTGTAATCCTGATCCCCATGCTGGTGGGACATTCCCACTTGAAAGGACAAGCAGACCAGCCTGGAGCAGCTAGAGGAACAGAAGATACTTCTTGAAAGAAAGACCAGAAGGAAAACTCCAAAACAAAAATGGCAGTCTGATTGGCTACTACAAGAACAAGCATGTTGTTCGCCAGGGAGCCATTAAGGCAAGCAATCAAATCCCTTCAGGACAAATCCCTCTTCAAGAGTGAAACTCAATACTGAAAGATTCTTTGGGCAGAATATTGAATGATGCAGAAAGCATCAAAGGAAGATGGAAGGAATACACAGAGTCACTGTACCAAAAAGAAACGGTCGATGTCCAACCATTTCAAGAGATAGCATATGATCAAGAGCCAATAGTAATGAAGAAAAGAAGTCCAAGGTGCACTGAAGGCATTGGCAAAGAATAAGGCACCAGGAACTGATGGAATACAAATTGCAATCTTTCAATAAACTGGTGCACTGGAGGCCCTCACTCAGCTATGCCAAGAAATTTGGAAGACAGCTACCTGGCCAACTGTGTGCGCAAAGAGAAGTGACCCAATGGAATGCAGAAATCAAACAATATCATTAATAGCACATGCAAGTAAAGTTTTGCTAAAGATAATTTTTAAATGGCTGCAAGAATACATTGGCAGGAAACTTCCAGAGGTTCAATGAGAACATGGAATGAGGGATGTTATTGCTGAAATCAGATAGATCTTGCACCTGGTATGGGTTGTACTGCAATGTAAAGAAAACAAAAATCCTCACAACTGGACCAATAAATAACATCATGATGAATGGAAAAAAAAGATTGAAGTTGTCAAAGACTTCATTTTGCTTGGATCCACCATCAACAGTCATGGAAACAGCAGTCAATAAATCAAATGACATATTACATTAGGCAAATCTGCTGCACAAGACTTCCTTAAAGTATTCAAAATGTCAGTTTGAGGACTAAGGTGCACCTGACCCAAGTCATGGTATTTTTAATAGCCTCAATGAATAAAAAGAACATAGAAGCATTGATGCGTTTTAATTATGGTGTTGGAGAAGAATATTAAAAGTACCATGAGCTGCCAGAAGCACAACCATGTACTTTGTTTTGGGGGTACAGACATGTACTTTGGATGTTGAGACATATTATCAGAAGAGACCAGTCCCTGAAGAAGGACATCATGCTTGGTAAAGCGGAGGGTCATAAAACAGAGTAAGACTCCTGGCAAGATGGATTGGCACAGTGGTAGTAGCCATGGGCTGAAGCGATTGTGAGGATGGTGCAGGACCTGGCAATGTTTTGTTCTCTTGTTTATAGGATGCTACGAGTCAGAACCTCTGGTAGCGTAGTGGTTACGACTCGGGCTGCGAACCTTAAGGTCAGCGGTTCGAAACTACCAGCCGCTCCGCGGGAGAAAGATAAGGCTTTCTACTCCCGTAAAGATTTACACCCTCGGAAACCCTGTACAGGGTCACTATGGGTCGGAACTGACTCGACGGCACTTAACAACAACAACAACGAGTCAGAACCGACTCAACAGCACCTAACAACTACAACAGTAATCCAATCTACAACACAAATACATTTATGAGTTGGTATGTATCTGTTTAGTCATTGTTGTTAGGTGCCATCGAGTCAGTACTGACTCATAGTGACCTTATGCACAGCAGAACGAAACACTGCCCGATCCTGGGCCAACCTCACTATTGTTGCCACGCTTGAACCCACTGATGCTGCCACTTTGCCAATCCATTTTGCTGGGGGTCTTCCTCTTTTTCTCTGACCCTCCACCTTACCAAACATGATATCCTTCTCCAGCAACTGGTCCCTCCTGACCATATGTCCAAAGTATGAGAGACGAAGTTTGGCCATCCTGGCCTCCAAGGAGCATTCTGGCTGCACTTCTTCCAACACAGATCTGTTGGTTCTTTGGGCAGCCCATGGCACTTTCAATATTCTCCTCCAACACCATCACTTAAAAGCACCAATTTTTCTACGGTCTTCCTTATTCACTGTTCAGCATTCGCATGCATATAAGGTTATTGAAAATACCATGCCTGCTATATGCCAGTCACTGGGCTAAGTGGTAAAGAGGCAGGACTTCTTTGGGGCTTAGAGTCTAGTTATGGGGAGAGGCAATAAATAGTAAGCAGATAATTTAATAGGGCAAAGCCTTCAGATATTCAGTGTTAAAACGAGAACAAAATGGAGCAGTGCAACCACCTTGGAAAACATTTTAGCAGTTTCTTAATAAGTTGAACAAATACCTGCCATGTGATTCAGCCCAGTAGGTGTTTCATAACTACTCGCTGAATGTGAATGGATGACTTTACATGTCAGGCTTTTTTGTGGAGAGTACAAAGATAAAGTGAGCTCTGGTAGCGTAGTGGTTACGAATCGGGCTGCGAACCTTAAGGTCAGCGGTTTGAAACTACCAGCTGCTCCGCGGGAGAAAGATGAGGCTTTCTACTCCCGTAAAGATTTACACCCTTGGAAACCCTGTACAGGGTCGCTATGGGTCGGAACTGACTCGAAGGCACTTAACAACAACAACAACACAAAGATAAAGTGCTGTTTCTTTCTCTCTCTCTCTCTCTCTCTTTTTTTTTTTTTGACAAGCTTGGTAAAGAACACGAAAACTTTATACTTGAATTCCAAAAGCATGTTTGCTAAAAATATGACCAGAAGACATGTAAAATGTCCTTTGTAGGGTGGCACTGTGGTTTAATACGCCAGACTCCAAAGTCCTTACAACTGCAAAGTTGGCAGTTCAAGCTCACCAGCTGCTCCTTGGAAACACCATACAGGGTCGCTATGGGTCAGAACTAACAACAACAACGACATTTTTCTTCCTAGTCAGGGCAGGGCAGGTCCTCTGGCTACTTGAGAATACAGTTTCACTTTCCTTTGTCCCTCCTCCAGTGCCCAGCCAGTGGGTCTGTCTGCTCTAGCCCTTCCTCTTTAATCCTACTTCTTTAGCCCTTCCTCCTTAGTCCCCCTTGCCCCTTCCCCATCTCTACCTCCACCCCCCACTCTCCACTTCCCATGCTTTTGGCTCCAGAGGCATCCTGGTGTGGCATTGTACTATAAAGCACTGGACTACGAGTCACTTTGCACCACAGGGTTGGCGACTCAAACTCACCAGTCGCTCCTCAGAAACTATACAAGGTGGCTTTGTGTCAGAACCAGCTTGATGGCACTTAACAAGTCAAGATGACTGTAGTGTGTATGAGCTGCAAAAGCCACTACAGACCTGGCCTTGTATTTCATCTCCTACCAGCCTGTCCTCCCTTCAAGCCCCTCATCACAGAGCTCTGTGGTTTTTGTCTCAGTCAGGGCTATGTTGTTGTTGTTGTGTGCCGTGGAGTCGGTTCCGACTCATAGCGACCCTGCACAGGGTTTCCGAGGCTGTAAATCTTTACGGGAGCAGAACGCCTCCTCTTTCTCCCACGGAACAGCTGGTAGTTTCGAACTGCTGACCTTGCGGTTCACAGCCCGATTCGTAACCACTACACTACCAGAGCTTCTTCAGGGCTATGTAGCTCAACATTTAAATGTGTGTGCTTTGGAGCCAGACCTCCTGGGTTCCCAACCCACTTTTAGTACCAGCAGTTGATGGGACTTTGGACAAGTCACATAATTCCTTTTAATCCCAAATATAGTGCAGAACAAAATTAGTATCTACACTACAGGGTTGTTGCAAGCATTTACTATGTATGGTGTGGCGCTGTGGGTTGATGCACTGGGCTACAGAATCGGTTTGAACTGCAATGTCGTGGTTCAAGCTTACCAGTCATTCCTTGGAAACCCTATACAGGGTGGATATGGATCGGAACCAACTCGTTGGCACTTAACAACAACAACCAAAAAATAACTACCTAATGTCAGCTTTAATCACTTACATTGCTGTGCATTCTCTTCTTACAGGATGATCACTAAAATTCTTATATGCTAACAGACCTAGATTACACATGTGCATCAGAGTAGAACTGCATTCCATAGGGCTTTTAATGGTGATAGTATATTACCAGGCCAGTTGTCCATCATGCCTCTGGGTGTATATGAACAACAAACCCTTCAGATACTAACTCAGTGTTTAGCCACTTGCACAATCGAGGGAACCGTGTGTGTTCCCTACTTAAGTGCCAGGTGCCGTTCTAGGCACTTTACATTGTTCCTGACAAGGATGTGCAATAATCCTAACATGATTGCTGTTGTTAAGTGCTGTCAAATTGGTTCTGACTCATAACAACCCTATGACAATAGGTCGAAGCTGTTGCTATCCTCAGTGATATCTTCACAATTGCTGCTACGCTTGAACTCGTTGTTGTTATTGTGCCAATCCATCTAGTGGGGCGGGGAGTCTCCCTCTTTATAATTGTCCTTCCACTTTACTAAGCATGATGTTCTTCTCTGGGGACTGGTCCCTCCCAACAATATATCCGAAGTATGAGAGAAAAAGTCTAGCCATCTTGACTTCTAACAAACATTCTGGTTGTATTTCCTTCAACATAGATTTGTTTGTTCTTCTGGTAGACCATGGTACCTTGAATATTCTTCTCCAACACCTTACTCAAATGCATCGATTCTTCTACAGTCTTCCTTATTCACTGTCCAACTTTCACATGGATATGAGGTTATTGAAAATGACATGGCTTGGGTCAGGCACACCTTAGTCATCAAACTGACATCTTTCTCATTTAACATTTTAAAGAGGTCTTATGCAGCAGATTTGCCTAATGCAATACATCATTTGATTTCTTCTTTTTGTTGTTGTTTTTTTTTTTTTTACGTTTTATTGTGAATTATGTGATAGTTTACATGGGAGAACATTAGTTTTATGACCTTGAACACATCCATCTTGGCCTCCAAGGAGCACTTTAGCTACACTTCTTCCAAAACAGATCTATTGGTTCTTTTGGCAGCCCATGGCACTTTCAATATTCTCCTCCAACACCACAACTCAAGGCATCAATTCTTCTACGTTCTTCCTTATTCACTGTCCAGCTTTCACATGTATATGAGGTTATCGAAAATACCATGGCTTGGGTCAGGCGCACCTTAGTCCTCAAGCTGACATCTTTGCTCTTCAACACTTTAAAAAGTTCCTGTGCAGCAGATTTGCTAATGCAATACGTCGTCTGATCTCTTGACTGCTGTTTCCGTGACTGGTGATAGTTGATCCAAGAAGAATGAAGTCCTTGACAACTTCAATCTTTTCTCCATTGATAAGAATGTTGTTTATTGGTCCAGTGGTGAGGATTTTTGTTTTCTTTACACTGAGATGTAATCTTACTGAAGGCTGTGCTCTATGATCTTCATCAGTAAATGTTTTATTTTAAGTCCTCTTCACTTTCAGCAAGCAAGGCTGTATCATCTGCATATCGCAGGTTGTTAATGAGTCTTCCTCCAATCCTGATGCCACATTTTTCTTTATAGAACCCAGCTTCTCAGATTATTTGCTCAGCATATAGGTTGAATAAGTATGGTGAAAGAATACAACCTTGTCGCACACCTTTCTTAATTTAAAAACATTCAGAGTTCTCATGTTCTGTTCGAACAACTGCCTCTTGGTCCTGGTACAGATTCCTCATGAATACAATTAAGTGTTCCGGAATACTCATACTTCACAATGTTGTCCATAGCTTGTCATGATCCACACAATCGAAAGCCTTTGCGTAGTCAATAAAGCACAGGTAAACATCTTTCTGATATTCTCTGCTTTCAGCCAAGATCCATCAGACATCAGCAATGAAATCCCTCATTCTACATCCTCTTCTGAATCCGGCTTCAACCTCTGGAAGTTTTCTGTCACTGTATGATTGTAGCCGTTTCTGTATTTCCTTTAGCAAAACTTTACTTGCATGAGATATCAAAGATATTGTCTGATGATTCTGCATTCTGTTGGGTCACCTCTCTTTGGAATGGGCACAAATATTGATCTCTTCCAATCAGTCGGCCAGATAATTGTCTTCCAAATTTCTTGGTATAGATGAGCGAATGCCTCCTGTGCCACCTCTCTTTCTGGAAAGATTTCAATTTGTAGCCCATCAATTCCTGGTGCCTTGTTTTTTGCCAATTCCTTCAAAACATCTTGGACTTCCTCATTCAGCATCATTGGCTCTTGATCATATGCTACCTCTTGAAACGGTTGAACAGCAAACATTTCCTTTTGGTATAGTGACTCTGTATTTCTTCCGTCTTCACTTGATGTTTTCTGCATCAAGAGATGATGAAGAGAAACAGCTGTAAACAGCCAATGAAAATCAGAACATGGAATGTACGAACTATGAATCTGGGAAAATTGGAAGTTGTCAAAAATGAAATGGAACACATAAACATCAATATCTTAGGCATTAGTGAGCTGAAATGGACTGGTATTGGCCATTTTGAATCTGACAACCACATGGTTTACTATGCCAGGAATGACAAATTGAAGAGGAATGGTGTTGCATTCATCGTGAAAAAGAACATGTCCAGATCAGTCATGAGGTACAACTCTGTCTGTGATAGGATAATATCCATGCGCCTACAGGGAAACCCAGTTAATACCACTATTATTCAAATTTACGCACCAAGAAAGAAGGAAAAGGTCAAACTGGATGTCAGAAGAGACACTGAAACTTGCTCTCCAACGTAGAGATGCTAAGGCAAATGGAAGAAATGAGGAGGTCCAAGAGCTGAACAGAAAATTTCAAAGATCAGCTCTAGAAGATAAAGCCAAATATTACAACAAAATGTGCAAAGATCTGGAATCAGAAAATCAAAAAGGAAGTACACGCTCATCATTTCTCAAGCTGGGTGAACTGGAGAAAAAATTCAAGCTTCGACTTTCATTATTGAAAGATTCTTTGTGCAAAAACCTAACATGGTAGGTATTGTACACGTCTCCATTTTATCATAGGGAAAGAGATGCCTGGGGCAAGGGCGGAAGGAGAGGGGAGTGAGACACCTGTTGTTGCTACATCCAATGTTTCCACGAGGAAGTTTCCCAGGTTCTTCAGGCTGTAGTTTGCCACATCAGTCCGAGTATCACCACCTCCTGGGATATTAACCAGGCTGGACACTGAGCCCTTTGCGTAAAAAATCCTGATATTTGCAAGCCAGCCCCTAGGAACTGCCTGGGCGGCGATTGGCTCCAAAACAACTCTAACAGATCGACGCCGTATCCTAGCAACTGGCCGCGCTCACATGACCTCCCAGCACGCCTCACGTGGTCCTGGAGCGGCGCTCCGCGCTCGGGTTGGAGCCGCTACAACGGGCGGGGCGGGGCCTGGCAAGTTTCTTTCCAGAGTTCGGAGTGGTGGAGCCCCACGGCTGCTACGCAGGTGCCCTGGGCCTGGATCAGTATGGAGCTGCCCGCCGTGAACCTGAAGGTGGTGAAGGGCAGGGCGGGGCGGTGGTAGCCACGCCGAGGGCGGGGCGGCGGGTGTCTGAGAACGTATTGGGCTTGTGCTTTTAAAAAGGAATTTAGAGGCGGGAGGACAGAGAATTTGGTGAAAGAAAGGTGGCTGGGAGAAAGGGGAGAAGGTGATGGACCCACACGCGCGCACACACACACACAGGTGGGAAGGAAATGGGGCAGACCGACCTCCTTGGAGAGGAGGCAGAATCCGGAGTTATCATGCAGTTATCATGCAGAATCCGGAGACTGACGGGGAGGGAAGGGACGCCGGGTCCCAGAGCCTGCCGCCTCCAGCTGAGATCTCCACCCCAGAGGATCGCGTTGACTTGCACGTCCACAATTTCCCGAGAGGAGGACGGCGCGGGGGAGGGAACCCTTAGCGTCCACGGGGGGGAGGGGGGGCTTGGGGACGGTACAGGTCCTCCAGTCCCTCCTGGAAACGTGGAGCCAGACCTTTCACCTGGACCCCCAGTTGGGTCACTAAATGAGATTCAGAATAGCCCGCAGCGTGGCGCCAGTGGATTGGTGGAGTGTCCGAGAAAAAGGAAGACTACCAGCGAGATGGATTGGCAAAGTGGCAGCATCAGTGGCCTCAAGCGTGGCGATAATTGTGAGGTTGCCAAAGGACTGGATAGTGTTTTGTTCTGATGTGCATAGGATCGCTATGAGTCGGTACCGACTCGATGGCACGTTAACAACAGTAACCTAAAGGTGGGCGGTTAAAACTGGATTACCAGCTGCACTGCAATAGACCGGTTTGGCCATCTGTTTCTGTAACGATTACGCCAGGAAAACCCTATGAAGCAGTTAGTTCTACTTTGTAACACATGGGATTGCCAAGAATCCAAATCGACTGGAAAGTTTTGGTTTTAGAAGCTTAAGAAAATCAGATGTTATCAGAAAGTAGTTTTGAAAGTGTGTTAAGTCCAGCTTTCATATTTCATAGCTAAGAAACAAGAACACCAGAAGTTACTTGCAAGCAGAAAACCCCCACTTTGTGCATTTAGGGAAACAATGGGGCTTCCTGGGGTGTCTTCATTTCCGGCCCTGCACCCTCTGCCCTCTGCCTGATTACCTTATCAGGAGCTATTCTAATCTTGCCCCCCACCCCCACCACCACCCACCCACCCCCACCCCCGCCCCGCTCTGTCTGCTGACAGAGGGGGGCTGGGCCCTTAGCTTTGGTCTGAAAGGTGTGAGCCTTGGACCAAATCAGCCCATGTTGGGTCTTGGTGCAACCTCTTTTGATACCATCTCCAGGAATGCCCTTTTACTCAGCAGTGGCAAACCATTTAGCACACTGTGGTGTCTGAAACAAAAAGAATCCTAGGCTGGCTGATTCCAAACAACTCATAAACCATGTTTGGATTACTCTACGTGACTGTGCTATGATTTCACCTGGGCAGATTTTCCTTCCAGTCAGCAGCTAGGGAGGAGAGATCTCTGTAACAAGGGGATGAACCTGGGTTTAAAATTTGTTGTTGTTGTTGTTGTTAAGTGCCATCGAGTCGATTCTGACTCATAGTAACCCTGTATAGGGTTTCCAAGGAGCAGCTGGTGAGTTTGAACTGCCGGCCTTATGGTTCAAACCGACCTTGCAGTCGAGTGCTCATCTTACAGCGCTGGGAAGAAATCTGAGGTTTATTGGTATCAATGTTCAAGTCTTTTGAGTTCCAGCTGATTTGGAATTAATGCAGAAGGTATACCCTGCTGCCTGCCTTGTCTCTGAATAGAGATTTGCATAATGTAATTGCAAGAAATGGAGAATCCAGTAAGAAACGGTGTGCAGGGATCAGAAGGAAGAGAGCTTTCATTTACGGAGCATCTGTGGTGTGCCAGGATCAATCATTTAATCACAACAACCTCGACAAGGCTGGCATTGTCATCTTTGTACAGATGAGCAAGCTTTGGCTCAGAGAGGGTCAGTGACTGGCCAAGGTCACACAGGGATGAAGTGGCAGAGTCAGGATTTGAATCACAAGTGTCAGACTCCAAAGCTGTGTCCTTTGTTGGGCCCTGGATTGGTTGGGGCTGATTTCTGTTTGCTTATATCCATCAGTAGAGGGCTTCGTCTGTTTATTTTTAATTTTTTTTCAGCAACTTTATGGGCCTGACGAGAGCCCTGGTGGTGCAGTGGTTAAAGCCCTTGGTGACTAACCACAAGGTTAGTGGTCTAAACCCATCCGCTTCAGAGAAAAAAAATGTGGCAGTTTGCTTTCATAAAGATGAACAGTCTTGGAAATCCTACAGGTCGGTTCTCCTTTGTCCTGTAAGGTTGCTTATGAATAAGAATCGACTTTGGGTTATGGGTCTGACAGTCCAGGTGTTGTACCAGGTCTGAGCTTTACTGGCTTTTGAGGCCCAGAATGAAAAAGCTGGTCTTTTTCTTGACTTTTGAGAAACTGCTTCCTACATCTCCAAGAATCTTAGGAGCTCCCAGTCAGAGACAAGTCAGTGCTGGGGCTCCAAGGGGCTATGGTAGCCTGTAAAGAGAAAGTACATCAGATTGAATTTCAGATCCACAACACACCTTTTTAGTATAAGTGTGGTCGTCATTGTTATGTGCCGTGGAGTTGGTTCCGACTCATAGTGACCCTGTACAGGGTTTCCAGGGCTGTAAATCTTTACGGGAGCAGAAAGCCTCATCTTTCTCCCACAGAACCGCTGGTAGTTTCAAACTGCTGACCGTGAGATTAGCAGCCTGACTCGAAACCACTACGTTACCAGAGCTCCTTAGTATAAGTATGGTCCATACATACTAAAAAGTTATTTGTGTGAAATTCAGATTTAACTGGGTGGTACAAATAGTTACGCACTGGGCTGCTAACCAAAAGTTGACAGTTTAAGTCCACCCAGACACACCCTGAAAGAAAGGCCTGATGGCGCTGTTGTTGCTCAGTGCCATCGAGTCACTTCCGACCCGTAGCGACCCTGTATAGGGTTTCCGCACTGCCGACCTTACAGTTCAAACGGCTTTGCAGTCTGGTGCATTAACCCACAGCACCACACCAGGACTCCAGTACTTTAGAAAAATCTGTCATGGGAAATCTGTTCTCCATAGAGTTTCCAGTGGCTGATATCTTTAGGAAGTAGATCACTGCACCTTACTTCCAAGAAGTATCCGGGCAGATTCGAATCTCCAGCCTTTCAGTTAATAGTTCATTGTTTAACCATATGTGCCACCCAAGACTCTTACGCAGGTACTTCTTGTTGTTGTTAAGTGGTGTCGAGTTGATTTCGACCCATAGGGACCCTGTATAGGGCTTCTGAGGAGAGGCAGGTAGGTTTGAACCTCCAACCTTGCAATCAGCAGTCCAGGGCTTATCCTACAGTGCTACACCAGGACTCCATACAGGTACTTAATGGTTATTAACTGGAGATATACAGTGACCCGCCAGATGCCTTATCTCTCTGGCAGTGCAGTACCCCATTTCACAGATGAAGAAACTGAGGTTCATCTACATAAAGGAATGCCCCTGAACCAGAACCCCAGTCTCCAGCATCCTGCAGCCCCCTACCCTGCTGCTGTGGGCCTTCCTTTACCCTGGTGTCTGTCTGACACGTTGGACGCACTCTAGGAAAGAGCAGGGCAGCCTCCCATGGGTTGGAGTACTGCATGGAGAGTCTAGGGGCTCAGGAGGTCCCTGGGTGGTGCGTATGTTTAAGCGCTCAACTATCAGCCGTAAGCTTGGTGGTTTGAACCCACCCAGAGGCACCTCACAAGACAGCCCTGTCAATCTGGTTCTGTAAGGTCACAGCTTTGAAAACTCCGTGGAGCAGTTATATTCAGCACACCTGGGGTCGTCCTGAGTCAGCGTGGACTCTGTGGTAACTAACAAAAACAACAAGGGCTCTGCTCCTTTCCTCTTACCCAGCCACCACCCAGACAATTCTAGACCCACCCCTCCCTCTTCTGTCTCTCTCAGACCCTCCCCTGCTTCCCACTTCTCTGCCTCTGCCCCACAGTACCTGAGAATCTAGCCTCTACTTGGTCACCGCAAACCTCCCCCAGAGCCTGCAGACAGGCTGTCTGTGTTAATTATGAGTCACTAGCCCCTTCTCCCAGGGGCTGTTGGGAAGGACAGGGCCAGGGCAGGCTTGCCTGGAACTTTGCTGATTTTAGGCCTTTGTTGGGCTGGATGGGTGTGTCCTCCTATTGGGGAAACTGAGGAGGCTTAGTCTTCTGTGGTCTCCACCCACCAGCCCCAGGAACTTAAGTGGTCAAATGGTGCTGTTTCTTAAGTATTTATTAGGCAAAAGAGGTGATGTTGTATGAAGGGATTACATGTCACATGTCTTCTTGTATGGACTGTTTGTCCATGTGATACTCTTCTTCCCTGAGACAATGTCTGGCTTTAACCGGGTGTGCAATACAGATCACTATCTCAAAGGTTTTGCAGAATGACTCACCACAGGGCTCCCTCCAGGCCCTGCAGGGCCAACAAACACCCAGATGCTAGAGACCTCTGTACACACAGTCTAGAGGCAGGGACAAGAGCCACAGTGAGATCGCTTAGAAGTGAAGATTATTTCTAAAATTAGAAGTCACCAGTGGGAGAGATCAGACAATGATTTTTCTTGAGGGAGTCCCTGGGTGGTGGAACAATTAGTGTGCTTGGCTGTTACCTGAAAGGTTAGAGTTTGAGTTTGTCCAGAGAAAAGGCCTAGTGATCTTAGAAGAAAGGCCTAGTGATCTACTTCTGAAATTCAGCCATGGAACACACAGGGTTACAGTGAGTTTGAGTCACCTTGATGGCAAATGTTTTTGTCATTGTTTTATTTTGTTTTGAGGAAAGTGGTGATATGAGCTGCCGCCCCTGCCTTCTTCCGTGGTGTTTAAGCTCAAACTCACATGGCCTTAGCTGGGTCCTTTCCCCTCTGTGAGTTTAGGTTTCATGTGAGATGACGGGGACAGAAGTTAGCTCCTAAAATACAGATCAGATTCCACCCAATTGGCCATGTGAATATCAGCCTGTAAGACCCAGAGAACACTACCAGCTGGCCCTTAGGAGCTCACCTTAGAAGGTTTCACAGAGAGGAAATGTGAAGTAAAACTCAAAATTGTTAGAGGAGAAAAAAGACCAGGCTTACTGGTCAGATAGAGACTAGAGGAACTCTGAGACTATGTATTACCCTTGTTACCCTTCAAGACTGGACCTGAACTCACCCCCCCCCCATGGCTCCATTTTCAGTCAAGCAATAGAGAGGTCTATAGGGGGACAGCAACACTAGGGAGGTGCGCACACCCCAGAACAGTCAACCATTTGAGATCAAAAGGCAGCATTTACCCTAGGGCAAAATTCAGAAGGGTTAGGAAAGGAGGAGGAGGATTGAAAACTAGGACCACAGGAAGGAAGTGATGGATACACTGAGGGAATTGCAGTCACTGAGATGAAAAAAAGTGTATGATTTATTGAATGTAGAATGAGCGATGTGCTCTGTAAACCTTCACTCAATTCACAATAAAGAGATTCCACCCTGACCCTACTCTGCCCGCTTCCCAGCCTCTTGTCCCCTCTCCAGTCTTTTCTTGCCTTCCATGCTAGCCACACTGGCTTCTTTTCCCTTCCCAGAATGCTCCATGCTACCTCTGCCACAGGGCCTTTGCAGATGCTGTCCCTTCAGCTTGAAATGTTCTTCTCCTCTCTCTACCTTCCCCACCTGGCTAACCTACCTTCCCCACCTTCACCCACCACCCTTAATCTCAACTTCATTTTTCTTCATCTTTGTAGAAGAAGGTTCCTTTCCCTTTGTTCTTTCAAATGGGGTCTCACTTGACTCCACATTCCTGAGGCTGATGATCTGATTAAAGAGTGTCTCCCTGCTAGATGGAAGTTCTGGGAGGGCAGGTACTTGCCTGCTCTGCTCACCATAGGGACCTCAGGACTGATACAATGCAGGATTAGTAGCTCAGCTCTAGACTGGGCATCCTGTTTGACTTCTGACTCTGTTATTGACCTTGGACAAGTTACTAACCTCTAAGCTTCAATTTTCTCAACTGTAAAATGGAATAGTACCTCAGAGGACTGTAAGCGTTAGATGCATTGGTATACAGAAAGCACTCAGTAATAAACCCTGGTAGATTGTTGCAAAGTCAAAGCTAAACAGACCAGTTGTGGTTAAGTGGATTCTAACTCAGCGACCCCATGAGTGTCAGAGTCAACGGTGGATGTGTTTTTTAGAAGTCCGTTGCCAGATCTTTATTTTGAGGCACCTTGGGGTAGGCTGAAACCTCCAGCCTTTCAGTTAGCAGTGATTATGTTAGCTGCTTGTACTCCCAAGGATCTGTAATATATAAACTTAGCTATACCAGAGTTTCGTTACCATGAGAATTCTCTGCCAAGTTAGGCGTCTCGTCTTCTATAGCAAGTAGAGGACTATCTTCTGGGCTGTAGAGCCAAGCTCCTCTAGGGGTCATTCTGGCACTGGGTACTGGAGGTGCTTCTGAACTATCCTAGCCACGTGTGCCCCCATGTATAGAGGATGCTTAGATTTGTCCCTAGCCCATCGCTTTCCGAACAGAAGGCCCCTGCCTCCGTGTAAAGAAAGACGCCATGGAAATCAGACTCCAATTTCATTTTCGTCTTGTCATTTGCTACCTGTGGAATCTTGATCAACTTAATTTGCCTCTGAGCCTAGTTTTCTCACCTGTAAAGTGGGAATAGTCATAGTATCTGTGCCAAAGGCTGTCAGGAGATCAGGTGAGCTGTTTTGGCTCAAGGCCTGGCACGTCGTTCAGGTGTGCAATAAGTAAATGACTGACCGCTCTTCTAGAAAATGCTTTTTCCTCTTCATCCCAGGCTCTTGATCGCAGGTGGGAGATCGCCTTCCACTGTTTCAACCAGCAGCCTGAACTTTGTACTCCAAACCCTTGATTGGCTGGCCTCTGCTGTCTGGGCCCAACACCCTGCCCCTGCCCCTGCTCTTAGCATCTCCCAGTCTAATCCTGTTCATCCCTTGAGTAAATGCTTCTAAAGGTCCCCATCAGCAAAGCTCCAAACTTGGGCCTCAGTCCTTACACCTGTGCTCCTCGCTCTGTGCACACCTGGCTTCTGCCACTTGTCTTTGCTGTTGTGTGCCCCACTCCCTGGAAGGCCTCTCCACTCTCCCTACCCTTTGCCCAGCCATCCCTGCTCTTCCCTGCTTATTCAGCTCCAGAGTTACCTCCCCTTGGAAGTGCTCACTGGTGCCGGCTTGTCCCTCCCCACCTCCCCATAATAGCTGCTCCTTCCTTTTCTCTCTGTTCCAGTCAGAACCCTTTGGATTATTAGGAGTACAGACCAGTTCCAGCAAAACCAGTTACTGTCACATCAGCCCCCACTCATGGCTACTCCACATATGCCAGAGTAGACCTGTGCTCAATAGAGGTTTTTTTTTTTTTAATGTTTTATTGTGAATTATGTGATAGTTTACATAGGAGAACATTAGCTTTACATTCATCCTATCATGTATAGTTTCATTGCCATGGTTACAATCTCCTCCATGCATCATCACCCAACCAAAGGGTATACCCTGCAAGCCTGCCCCACGGTCATCAGCACACAGCCCCTCTCCCTCTCTGGGTCTAGAGTCCTCAGCCGCTCCATTTCTCCAGGTCATCGTCTCTGCCTCCATCTCAGGCATCACTGCTTCTCTGGGTAGGGTCCTGCACTCTGCTCTTACCGCTTTAAGGTTCCCGGGGACCTCCGCTCCTAGACTGCAAAGTTAATCACTCTCCTCCTTGCTACAAAACGTCTACCTTTACATTTCCAACCCTCACAATCAGTCCTGATAACAATTATTCACTATTGTATCACAAGAGACCCGTCTGCATTTCATTGCATCAGCCCTGCCTAGTCAGATTGAATACCACTCACTGGAGATTCTACCTTCCTCCAGGCCCTCTGGATCTAGGTTCCCTGTTGAAAGCTTGTAAGCCAGTCACTTCTTGCCTTTGTAGATCCCCCCATTTTGGGTAGCCAGTATCCACCATAGAGTTTTTTTGTTTGTTTGTCTTTTGAAATGGGCAAAATCATATCTCAAAATTTATTAAAGAAGTAAAGAAGTTTAAAAATAAGATCTGGTAAAGATGAAAGTACTGGATAAAACCTAGTGTTCAGGAGACTATGGATTAGCACACCTGAGAAGTCTGGCATGAGACAATCATGTGTCACTTAACACGACACGTTCTGGGAAACAGGAGGTTATGTGGTTTGGACGTTGTGCAAAAACCATCATAATCTTGTCCTGCTTATCCTTTAAGCCTCTCAAACAAGTTTTGTGCCTTAGCAGAGACTGTTAATATTCTGAGAGGGATTTGTTTTCATGTTTGGTCCTAATGTCTCCATATCTGAGATATGTCCCTTTGGTGTGGCACTGTGGGTTAATGAGCCACCATAGAATTTTAATGGCTGATTTTTCAGACGCAGATCAGTAGGTCTTTGTTTTGAGATACCTTTGGGTGGACTCGAAAACTCGGTAACTTTTCAATTCTCAACCGAGCATGTTTGCCACACGCACCACCCTGGACTCCAGTCTCATTAAAACTAAAATAACAGATGTGTTGCAGTTGCATTGATTCTGACTCCTGGTGACCCCGTGTGTTATAGACTAGAACTGCTCCACGGCTCTTCTTTATGGAAGCAGATCACCAGAACCTTCTTCCACAGTGCTGCTGGATGGGTTCTTTCAGTTAGTTGTTCTGGTTAAGTGCCATCGAGTTGATTCCAACTCATAGCGACCCTGTATAGGGTTTCTAAGGAGCAGCTGGTGAGCTTGAACCCTGCTGACCTTGTGGTTCAAATGACCTTGCAGTCGAGCACATTAACCCACTGCGCACCACCAGGACTCTCTGGAACATAAGCTGTATTCATCAATAAAGGGGACTGTGATTTTAAGGATCTATTGGGCAGTCACAAAGGTGCGATGTCACAGACCTCTGGAACAGAGTTTGGACCGTAGTATACACGCAGACCTGTTCTAACCCTCCTTCCTCAATTTTGTGTCATAGGCTATCCTCCTGGTCCACTGGTTGCTGACGACGTGGTGAGTGACACCGTGGGTATTGGGTTTGTGGTCGGGTCTCTGTCTCCTGGCTGGTGCCAAGACTAAGTAAAGACTTTACCTACCACATCGGAGGAGCAGAGAGTTCCCAGAGGTCTCTGTCACTCCTTCCTTTAGGAGCCTGGAACCCTCAACCTATGAGTGCTGACAGCCTCTGCCCATGCCTCCTGGGAGCTTGGGGGACTGGCTTCTCCCTGAGGACCTACGTACTGGGATAGATTCCAGTACAACAGTGGGCTCCCCAAAGCAGCCATGTGAGGCAGCCATGCAGAACTCTGTAGGTCTCATCTGTAAAATGGGAATATTACAGATCCTCTTGCTTATCTGTGAGGCCATTGGAAGGTAACTTTAGGAGCGACAATATCTGTTCACATCTATTGTGATGTCCAGGAACTAGCCAGTGGGCTAGGAGCCTCTGGGAATTAGCTCAGCATCTTAACACTGAACCTGAGACACACAGGGGAGGGTCATTTACTTAGGGTGGACCCTCACTCTTCCACCGCATGTTCCCCACCCAGAGAAGGCAGACTTGGGATTCAGAGGGAGAAGTCTGCCATGTTCCAGCTAAGTTACCTTGGATAGGTAGTTCTACCTCTTAGAACTTGGTTTCCATGTATCAGATGGGGCTGAGGAATGTGTGGTGCTCATCCGACAACCCCAGGGCCTGGCACAGAGGGAGATTCAGAACCTAGGATGGATTGCCATGGTTACTGTCAGTTTACCCTGGCACACTTCCAGGAGGTTTCTTCAATGAATGGAGAAGATTTCTCGTCCAAAGATTGGAAACTTTGAGATAGGAAAGATTGAGCTCATGTGTACGTTTTGGAAACTTGTACATGCAGAGTCCACATAAAGAGTTGTGAATAATGTGTAGTGTTGATCATGGCTATTAACTTGGAGAGAGAGGTAAACATAAGGATTTCTCAGTCACACTCGGGGAATATTGAGTTGGGGAGTCTGGACTGGGGCCCAGGCACCTGCTTTCTTAAAACCAAGGGATTGTTGTTGTTAAGTGCTGTCGAGTTGGTTCCAACCCATAGCGACCCTGTGTAAAGTTTCCAAGGAGCAGCTGGTGAGTTTGAACCACCAACCTTGAAAAACTTAAATGGCTTTGCAGTATAGCGCGTTAACCCACAACACCACACCAGAACTCCAAAACCAAGATACGTTGTGCCATGGAGTCAGTTTCGACTCATAGCGACCCTGTACAGGGTGTCCAAGGCTGTAAATCTTTACGGGAACAAAAAGCCTCATCTTTCTCCCGCGGAACAGCTTGTAGTTTCAAACTGCTGACCTTGTGGTTCGCAGCCCAATTCGTAACCACTATGCTACCAGAGTTCCTTAAAACCAAGATATAGAGGGAGGTTGTTTATTCAAAGACTTAGGGAACTTGATTGCATTCTACACGAACTACTTCCTACCTGTTTTCGATAGGTTATGCTTCGGTGAGTGCCGCTTACTCATTTCCCATAGAGCAGTTTAGGCCCAGGGTGGTGGT